TCTGCGATGGCGGCGCACGCCAAGCATCATCCGCCGCCGCCGCGGCTCCCGCGGCGGCAACCCGCCGGGCCTCCTCCTCTTCCCTGCGAGCAGCAGCCTCGGCCTTCTCCCTCGCGGCCGCCGCCGCTGCCGCCGCCTTCTGCTCCAAGGCCGCCCGCCTCTCGGCCCGCTTCTTCTCCTCGGCCTTCCGGAGGGCCTCAGCTGCGGCCGCCTTCTCCGCCAGTCTCTCCGCGGCGCGCCTCTTCTTGTCGGCCTCCTTCCTCTTCCGGTCCTCCTCCTTCCTCCTCCTCTCCTCCTCCTCCAGCTTGCGGGCCTTGGCCTCCCTCTCGGCGGCCGCCTTCAGGGCCGCCTCGCGGGCCTTGAGCTCCGCCTTCGCCTGGGCGTCGCGCCGGGCCTCGTCCGTCGCTGCCTTCTCCGCCAGCGACCTCGCCTTCGCCGCCTCGGCCTCAGACTTAGCCTTAGCCGCCGCCTCAGCCCGGGCTCTGGCCGCCGACGGGGTGCCCTCGCCGCCGCTGCCCGCGGCGTCGCCGCCGCGCTTCAGGGAAGACGTAGAGGACGAGGTGGGCGTGTTGATGTTGTTGTTGGAGGCCTTGCTGCCGCTGAAGTCCAGCTTCTGGGGGGGGGGCATTTGTCCGGTGGCGGACTGCTGCTGCTGCTGCTGCTTCGCGCTTGAGAGGGGTCCCTTGGGCGAAGGGGAACGGAGTTTGAAGGACTGCACGGAGCCGCTCGCCTTCTTGGAGTTGGAGTCCTTTTTCGTTGTGAGCGAGAAACGATGTAGACACGGAGATCAGGTTACATGAAGATCACAGGTCTCACGCCGGTAATCACCGCATGCGCACCGCCATGCGTTTAGGTTAGACAGGCGGCAAGGGGAGTTTCTGGGACGAGAGTTGACTCGATTGGTACAGGTGCAGTGCTTGAAAAAATAAACGAGAGCGCGTTTATTTGCGGGAAAGCCGCGAAACTGCCCTCTGCTTCCGGCCCCATATCGCCGTGACAGCCACTCCAACCGCCGTTGCTGTTCTGAACACGATGAAACAAACTAAAAAGAGTACCATCCACAGAGAGCCACCGTCAGGACTACTCCCGGAAGCGGCCGATCGACTTCGCCATGCCTCGGCCTACACTCGCTGCCTAACCCTACCATGCGCCGCGCTGTCAGAAAGCAAAAAATAAAATCTCACCATGGCACGGAACTTGGCAAAAGCGTCCTGGGTGGTGCTTCCCGTCGGTGACGGTACCTCCGGGTTGGCAGACGGGGGGGGCTTCACCCCCACGCGGCTGAAGGCCTTGTGGGCAGCCGCCTTCAGGCCGGAGGGTCCCGGCGTCGATATCGAGTCCTTGGCGAAGGGGCTGGCCTTGCGCGAAGGGCCTGGATCATTTTTTAGGGCCGGCGCATGTGGGGCAACAGGAACGACAGACGTGACTCTAGTCCTTAAGAACAACAGCAGGCACCCTGGCAGCAGCAATGCGAGCGGCTCAGTAGTGCCGGTTGACTAGTACCGGTGACCGACACAGCAGTATAGTGCTGGTGTAATGGCGTGGCAGAAGATGGGATAAAATAAGCTGTCAAACATGGATTATTTAGTGTCCGCTTTGGGGCAGACAAAGTTGCCAGCACACAGCAGCGGCGCTGCTGAGACCCCCCAACTCGTTGCATGCTGGCTACTACGCTCCCTCGCTCCAACCCAAGCGGCGTTAAGTAGCACTTGTACATCTCCCAACTCCGCTTAGAAGAGCTAAATGAACACCTCCCGAATCTTCATCCGGGTTGACAAGACCTGGTTGCCAGTCAACAGCGGGCCACAACACTCCGCAAAGGCGGGCCAATCATTCGCTCACACTTACTCTTGGCCGTCGCCGGAGTCCTGTGCCGGCCAGGCGAGCCGAATCCCCCCTTGCTGGGCGACGTCGGCTTCTCGGACGGCGGCGCAGTCGCCGCCGCCGCCGCCGCGACCCCGCTGCCGCCTACACTGAGCGCGGCGACACCGTCCGTGACGGCGTTAACGGCGGCGGCGGCGGCGGCAGAGTCCTTGGCCGTGGGCACGGGTGCAGACCCCGTCGGCGACGCGGGCACCGCCGCCGCGTCGCCCCCGATGGCCTGGCCGGACGCCTTGCTGGCCATGACCGCCGGGCGCGGGGCCCAGCCCTCCGGATCAGGATGTTGCCGAGCGGTGTCCGGCGAGTGCGGCGGTTCTACCTCTTTGTGGGAGCGGCCCACACCCTGTCCCTTTGCACCCAACCCAGATCCCTGAGTGCAGATGACAGAGCCGGAAGTTTGACCGCGGTACGCCTGCTACATAGTGAGATACGTGCGCGGGTGTAATCGGCTTCGGGTTGATGTACTTTTTGTCAGTCCGTT